AATCGTACTCTTTTTTTTTTTTTTTTTTTTTCTTTTTCTTTTATGTCGAACGCGCGGTGACCAAAGTCGAACGGATGCATAGCCGAATCGATCGGTACGCGCGTGCAAGAACGATCGAGAACATTACAGCGCCATCTGCGCGCACGTGGCGCGACTACGATCCTTTGCTGCCGGTTGTTCGCGTCGCATCTGTTGCCATTCGAATGATTTATGGCTCAACAACCGATGTTGGACAATTTCGATTGAAAAAAAAAAAGAAAAAGTAGAAAAATGAGGATAGAATCAACGTGACAGATCCTTCAGACAAATAGTTTCATTCTCAATAGTTCTGGTTAAATGATTAACGTGTTCGAGACGGTGTCAGTCCCTGTGGACTGACACTCCATTTTTCGTTCAGCCGGTGTCACTTTAGTAGTCAATCAAGCTTTATCGAGTCTGACAAATACACTTGATTTTCATTAATATAAAAAAATATACGTAAAAAAAAAAAACTATAATTTATATAAAAATTACACGCTCTCGAACGTGTCAGTCATCGAACACTGAACTCTAGTTGGATCTACCAACAACCGATCGATGTTGGACAATTTCGATTGAAAAAAAAAAGAAAAGCAGAAAAATGAGGATAGAATCAACGTGACAGATTCTTCAGACAAATAGTTTCATTCTCAATAATTCTGGTTAAATGATTAACGTGTTTGAGACGATGTCAGTCCCTGCGGACTGACACTCCATTTTTCGTTCAGCCGGTGTCACTTTAGTAGTCAATCAAGCTTTATCGAGTCTGACAAATACACTTGATTTTCATTAATATAAAAAAATATACGTAAAAAAAAAAAACTATAATTTATATAAAAATTACACGCTCTCGAACGTGTCAGTCATCGAACACTGAACTCTAGTTGGATCGAGTTTTGTTTCCACGCGAAGCGATTCGATTTCACGCGAGTGAAACGTTAGCGTTAGGCAAACTCGAGGTTCCGAGGCTGGTTGGAATAAGATTCGCGATACTGTATTACCGTGGCGTTGAAATTCATGGCAGGCGAGTTCCGCTATCGGCAACCGAGAAAATTGGACGCAGCCAGAGAAACGCGTGCATCGCGTGTTGCACGGGGAATGCACGATTATGGCCGCGCGTCGAAACCTGCGCCCCGCGAATTATCCGGCACTTTTGAAAACGCGATATCGTTTAGTATACTCTTATATACTCGTTACACATATATTTACTGGCACAATTATTTCGTTACACACGCACCGTTGAATGTAAGGGAAACTTTCGAGAATTCTTGTTAAGAGAGATAAACACGAGAACGTTTCATTAAGAAATTAATGAAATTTCATCGAATGTTTTTTCGATCAGTGAAAATTTGAACCAAATGTACGAAGGTTGTGGGAGGATGTGGCAGTCGTTTCATCGAAACAAAGTTAGGTTAGGTTTAGGTTAGATAGCTAAGGCAATTTTTTAAATTTTACATTTTTTCAGAGAGAGTATTAGTATTTGAAATATTTATAAAATTAAAAAAAAAAAAGAGACACGTAACTTGTCGTTTTTGTTAATAAGAAAAAGAAACAAACAAAAAGAACCAAATTTTCGCTTCGTTAAAGTATTAGATAGCAGTAGTTTTTCTGGGAATATTGCCAAAAACATTTATCGAAATTGATTCGGTAGCATTTCTAAATATTTCTAGTGTCGTATTTTCAAAACTTTCATTTCGTGAAAAACGCTGCTCGAAGGTTCAGTTATCTGTTACCATTAGGTTAGGTAGCTAAGGCAACTTTTTAAATTTTACATTTTTTCAGAGAGAGTATTAATATTTGAAATATTTATAAAATTAGAAAAAAAAAGATACACGTAACTTGTCGCTTTTGTTAATAAGAAAAAGAAACAAACAAAAAGAACCAAAATTTCGCTTTCGTCAAAGTATTAGATAGCAGTAGCTTTTCTGGGAATATTGTCAAAAACATTTATCGAAATTGATTCGATAGCATTTCTAGATATTTCTGGTGTCGTATTTTCAAAACTTCATTCCGTGAAAAACGAAGGTTCAGTTATCTGTTACCATTAGGTGCCGGCAGGAGCTACAATTTTCTAGAATATTCCAGAGTATCGTAATAACGGAATACAGAATTTTTGGGAAATCGATTTCTCCGACTTTATAGAAAGTATATGTAACGCCTCGAACCAAGATACAGCTCACTCTATTTCCCTCAGTTGAACGATCAAATTCCCGTTCATGTTCGTCGTGAATTAATTCCAATTTAATCCATTAGATTGGTGAAAAAAGCAACTGCGTTCTTTTTCTTCCATTTATACGCAAAAGAGCGAATTCTTTTCGTGAGAAACAAAAACTCTATCAATATATTGACCACTTTGTTCGACCAGACAATCTTCATGATTCCACGCTTCAGAAAAGTTTCCATCTTTTTCGACAAGGAAGATAGTTCCAAGAACGATTTGATATCACTAGTGAATTTTTTAGCAAACCCAATTCTGACACTTCCAGGATTTAAAGGCCTCTTCGCTACACACGTTAGATAATTTTTTACGAGCTTGCACAGTGTTCTCCTGTTTTTCGAAAGACAGCAAAATATGTGGAAAATGTCGTGAAATGTGGTGAATTTTTCGTATTGAAATCAAACGGCGTAGCAATTGTTCAGGAAATCGTGCATTTCTTTCTTTCTGAAACAACAGCTTGAACAGTTTAAAATGAAGTTAGTTACATTCTCTGGACAGTAGCCAATCGTGATAAATCATTTCGATAATAAACGAGAGGGATAACAGAAGATATAAAAATATTGAAATTAACTCGCGTATTTTCAGAATTTAGTCAAGATATTGTCACGATCAATTTTTCTTAGTTACTCGAAAGCAAAATTTCATACCCTCCCACTTGTTCCAAGTGATAGTTGATAAATTTTTGGAACATCCTACCTATCGAAGCTTCTGAAAGTTTGCACAGAAATGTACATACAAATGGAACAAACTTCCTGCTCCAATGAAAACGAATTAAGAATTAAGCACCGATCGAGAACGATCGATGATTCTCGCTGCAACTGCGAGTTAACCCCCGGAACATAAATAATTTAGTCAAGGCAGCAAACAGGCTGCACAGATCCCATTAAAAAGTAAGTTACTTCGTCCCCTTTTTATATGTTTTAGAAAATTTTTGTTGTTGAAGTAATTTAGTGGCGCACTTGAGAAAAAATTGTCACGTAGGGTGCCAAAAGGTTTGACAACGATTGACCATAGCACGCTTAGTTCCGTTAGCAGTAGCAGTAGCAGTCGAGAAAAAGAAGTCTCAGCCTCGGCCTGTTGCCATTTCGAAATCCGTAAATTTATGCCTGGAGTCCGCATTCTGACGTCTGACATAATATCCGTATCGCGTGTTACATCCTGCGCGATATTCCTGCCGATACGCGTGACGGATAACAATTTTCCAGACAAGGGGAACCGTCACATCGGCGCTGGTCACGATTCAGCGCGTATAAACCGCGATGTTGGCCAAGCTTCTCCCGGCCAAATTTCCTTCTTCCACCGGTTCGGGGTCGTAAATGGCAAACGACGCTCTCTCATCCCCGTGTTTCACCTCCCGATCTGTTGTCTCATTCTGTTTTATTCGCCGGGTTACACTGTCCTGTGGCTTCCGGCCGCATCGATCCGCTCGATCTCGAATCGTACGTGGAGTTCTCTCGGTGGAGATCCTGATGATGATTGCTGACAGTCGTATTCACTCGTGTAAATTTTTTTCGCAATTTAGTGAGTAAGATAAATTTGATCGGAGGTGGGCGAAATGTGATCTGATTATAATTGACACGTTAAGTGCCGCGATAACCAAAACGCAAGGTCCACAGTACTGGGAAGAAATATTAGTAGAAACGTGGCTAGAAGAAGTTCGTCGATCGTCACGATCGATTACAAATTACGAAAATCAATCAAGATCATTGATTTCTTTTAACAACGATTAATTGATTGACGACCATTTAATTTTATTAAACACATAATGAAAAAAATTACGGATTTATTTTAGTAGCGAATGATTGTTTTGGCCCACCCTGTATATCTCTTTAGCGATGCTTTTTGATATTTTTCTCACTTCTTTCTAATCGCGCCAGAGACTAGCAGCGCCTCACAACGCGCAACAAACTTAATTCGTAGATTTTCATTTAGCACGATTTCGATATACAGTGTCTAATTAATCACAGAAATTATTGCAATCGATCACTGTCCAATTCTGAACTCGTCGACTATTTCCCGACTTTTTGTTTAGAAAAACAAAATACTTTTCCATCTTACAGTTAAGCACGTTGACACGTACTTTATACGAGCTCGTATTTTGTTTTCACAAATTCGTTTGATAGTGCACGTCTCGTGCAACACGGTTTTCTATCACTTATCCCCCTCCCCTCCCCTCTTCCCCTCTCGCGTTCTACGAGAGTTCAGCGCACCAGCTGGAACTAAAAGCGTTGTATCTCATCTCGTTGTTCGTGTCTCAACAATAGTCACTTAAGTCTCGGTTCGACCTTAAATCTTGAATTTAATCTACCAATTAAGTTTGTTGCACATTGTGAGATGTAGCTAGCTCTCTGACGTGATTAGAAAGAAATGAGAAAACACCAGTAAAAAGTATCACTAAAGAGACACACAGGGCAGGCCAAAACAATCATTCCCTACTAAAACACATCCGTAATTTTTTCATTATGTATTTAATAAAATTAGGTTTTTCTTATATTTCGATGTTTTATTTAAAAAAAAAAAAAAAAAAAAAAAAAATAGGTGGGAAGAAACTTTTGACCCACCCTATATAATGCATATAAACAACGGAATAAATTAACTTTATTCAAGTCTAAATCTCGAAAGTCTGTACTGTTCCCGAAAGTTCGCGACTTCGTTTACGATAAATCAATCCCGCCGAAGACGCGTTTTTTTTTTTTCTTCTCGTCCGGGGAAAAAGTTCAAAGAGAGTGTGTCAATCTGTTCAGTTCGATGGTAACGAGGTCTCTCGCAAGCGAGAGAAGTTTCGCTGCTATCGAATTTTTTTCACGAAATCAACTCGGAATGGAGTCGTGGTGACTTTTATTTCTCTACGATCTTGGCTCTTTCGAGTTTACGGCTCTCTTTGGGGAATATTCGGCATAAGTACAGGTTGATTCAAAATCAATGGCCAGCGTATTTCGATAATAATTTTTTCCAACGTTCCTTGAAACAACTTGTACAAATAACTTGACTCTTTCGAGAATCACGGTTGAATTCGACAAATACAGATTGTTTCAAAATCAGAAATCAGCATATTTCCATGTCTTTTTAAACTTTCCTTGGAACAACCTGTACAAATAACTTGACTCTTTTAAGTTTATTATTAGCTCAAACTCTTTAGGGAATTACGTCTGAATTCGACAAATACAGGTTGTTTCAAAATCAGAAATCAGCATATTTCGATATCGTTTTAAACTTTTCTTGAATAACTTGTACAAATAACTTGAC